AGTTAAAACACGCTCCGTCTTTCAAGCAGCACTGCCACTTCAGTCTAGTGGTATTCGGCAATTGCACGCAAACAGCAAAAGCCAGAAAAACCACTGAGTCCGTTTGTTAGCCCACTTCACCCAGAGCCTCAAGCACCACAATTGCTGCCCGGCATTGGCCGAGATTTGAGCACCGGACCAGAAGATGCACATGCACATGCCGCTGCATGGTTGGCACTGGCTGCATTCGTGGGAACACGCTGCAATATGATGCGCTAAGAACGCATACGGCGTGAATCCACCCCGTAGCTGAGGTGTGCGAACAGCTGCACAATGGCTGCGGGCCTGATGCCTTAGTTCGCTCGCCCATCTGTATTTCCTGCTGTATGATGACTTTTTCAAGATCCTGCACTTCAGATGAACTAGCTCATGTAAAACCCTACCACCCGGAAGCTAGCTCAGTAACAATGATCACCCATATCTCTACTCAAAGGAATCGATACCTATTAGTGCATCAATGCTCTCAATATTCTTGACACGTCCTCATTCCTTTCAAATCTGTAATGCATGCTGTCATCTTCCCATACCAAGCCCACCAGCACCATTTCCAGTTTTTGCCGCACGTCTCCGCTTGGTTCCATTCTCCTGCCTGCTAATCCAAAGGGCTCAATCATCTCCAAGGCCTGCCAGCCGAAGTTGAAGCTCCCTCCGTTGCCCCAACTCCTGCGTGGCTATGCTCAAAAAAAATAGCGCGGCGGCATGAGCTTCAGACCATGCCATAGTTGCTATGTTATGATGCTCGGAAACCACAAGATTGGCCAGTGAGTTGCCAAGCTGTCTCTGCGTGTTTGCACATGCCACAGAATATTCAGGCTGCTTACCAGCGTTGCGAAGCTCTCTCGTTGAAGGATCCAAGCGCCCTGACATACAACGATTGTCACACGCAAGAAAAGCATCGATCTCACCTGCCTCAGAGTCTGGGTGTCAGCTTTTCAGCCTTAGACCCTGAAAACCCCAACAATGATCCCTGAAAACTCTGAAGCTGATTTAGGCTGATCATCGGAACACTTCAGAACCAGCAATTGCTTGCCACTTCTGGTGGGGGGATATGGGGCATCTAAATGTTGACCTTATTCTGCGGGGGCCCCATGGCGTCCAGTCGCCAACTCTGCCTACGGCGTGGCACCTCGCTGGCTTACAGCTGTGCCGTCGGCAAGTGTCAACGCATCATGGGGCAAACACATGTTGAGATGCTGTATATGACGATGTCGTCGCATACATGTGGGCATACAGTGTGGTTTGCGCTGATCCTTCCACCTAATGATCCTAATGACGTCCTCTCAATATCTTTCAAACCGCCATGACCAGCAATGTGGTGTTGTGACTTCACAGTGACGCTTGACAACGTTCCCAGCCCGCAATCGCGGCCTGCACACTGCAACATTCACAGAAGCTAAATGAAGTACCATTCTCAGTCCAAAGCAGCAGGGCGAGAGTCTTTCGGGCCCCCGATTTCAAGATTACGGGCAGGAGCTGACGCCAAACGAAAAGTTCGCATATGTTCAATTGAGGCCTAAACACCAAAGCAAGAATGAACTGGAGCCTGCCTCAAACAGAGGAGCTCCACGAGACGTTGTGAGCCGAAAAACACACCAGTGGACAAAACCCAAGCCTTACCCCGCTTCATAAGCCTTACTTACAATACCCGAAAAATCCAGTCCAAACTCAATGCCATGTAGCGGGGCCTGGATGCGTAAGGCGTCTTGGCTCTTTTTGGCCTGCTTGGCTTTTTTTGATTTTGGCCTCAGCAACAGCCTTCTTCTGGGATTCGGCCTCAGCTCGCGCTTTCTCGGCCTCTTGCCTCTTTTTCGCTTCCTCCGCCTTAACCTGCTTCATATAGGCTTGGTGGTGAGCTCGCTCCTTCTCGGCTTCTTGCCTCACTTGGTTCACAGGTCCACAATAGAACAACGAATAAAGAATCTTTTCTTGCTGTGAATATAAAACCGAGCCTTAAGGCAATGCCCTCTTCAGATGGCGGAACAGCAACCTGACGCTGTGTGAAACACCGGTTCCCCTTTGCTGGCCTCTCAGAATCTCAGAGCCTTGACAAGGGCCTCGTACAACAGGAGGCTTCCTTGTTGCTCCTGCGGTGAGGGGATTCAGGATCTCAGTCCAAATGCTCCGCACGCGAGCGCAATTTTAGGATAAGCAAAATCAGAGATTTTGAGGATGCTCCGCGCGGGAGCTCGATTTTTGAGCGAAATAGGCGTGTCCAATTCGCACGCAGGTCCCTATAGGAAGACTAATTCAAAAGGGAGTCGAATAACTTTGTAAAAAATCCGACATTATAAAACGACAAAATGTCGAGGATGCTCCGCGCGATTTTTGAGCAGAATAGGGCGCGTCCAAAATGTTTGCGCGACGGAAGAAGAATCGCAGGGTCGGCGGGCGACGTCACATCAAACAAATAGACCCCCACAATGAATGCGGGAATACTAATAATCATCATCATTGCTCTTAGTAGTGAATAATTGTAATTGCAGTAGCCCTGACCACTTACCAAGTCATTAAGCAGGATCATGTCAAACTAGCAAAAGTCACCAGATGCACCGACAGTCGTCACTGGTCGCTAGTCTAGTCATGGACCTTGTGTTCCATCATGTTCAATTTTATGAAAAGTCCTAAAGCCACTGCACATTTGTGTTGCGAGCTGCAGCCGTACCACTCCGAAATCACTAGGAAATCGCTCCATGTTTGGAAGCTCAACCCCGCGCCACCCTGGAATCACTAGGAGACCACTCCAAATTTCGCAGCTCAAACACGCGCCACTCCGCAATCACCAGCAAATCACTCCGCGTTTGGGAGCTCAAACCTGCGCCACTCCGAAATCACTCCGACCCCCACTCCGAAATCACTCCGACTGCCCCAGGAATGGAGCGATTTTGGAATGGTTCCTCGGAACCCTCTAGATTTCCTCAAAAAATCATTCTTCCCTGGGATTGGAATGATTTTGGCATGATTTCGGAGTGGTTCCTCAGAATCCCTGGATTTCCTGAGTTCTCCAGGAATGGAAAATTGCGGAGTGATTTCGGAGTAACGTATTTTATCGTATTTATCAGGAGTTTTCAGGGCGGCGACGGCTGCGAAGGAGCGCGCCCGCGCGCTGCAGGTTTTGGGACCGTGCTGTAGCCCCAGAATCGACGCCAGATCACGCCCAAAATCTGCAGTGCGCGCGCTGAATTTTGGGGAGCATTTGGCCTCGACCCTGGGGCTATGGCTACAACACAGTTTGGCAGCAGCATCAGGCCATATTCTTCTTGAAGACCCAGGCCGTTGTCGGAAAACCAACCAACCAGTTCTCCAGGAGTGGAATGATTCTGGAAGGGTAAAAGCAAGTGCCTGGGGAGTTGCTTTCGCAGCAAAGACTTTGGCAGGCTGGATGCCAAAGGGTGAGGAGCTAAGGTTTTAAGCTTAGGGCTGAGTCAAGATTTAAAGGTTAAAGGCTTCCAACCTAGAACGGCACAGTTTAGAGGGACTCTTAGGAATCATTCCAACAACTGGTAGCGGGGAAAGGGTAGCTTAGAAATCACTCCGGCAAGCAGTAGCAGGAAAACAGGAGCTACCAAATCACTAAGGCAAGCGCTAGCAGGCAGGAAAACACGGGCTATCAAACCACAATCCCAAGAACTCCGAAATCACGACCAAATCATAAAAAACAAAACGTCAGGTCCCCACAGTATTTGCCACAGAATCCAAGTCACAAGGCAAGTGGGGCAATTGGGGCGAGTGGGGCATGCGGGACGGATGCGTTAATGTTCCCCCCCTGCGGTTGCACTGCAAGTGTCCTTCACGAAGGCCCATGACGCTTCCACCACCTGGGCGTCGTTGATCTCGTACCCTGTCGCAAGCCAAGATGATTTGGTGCCTATGAGACTCAGTCAGATTTGAGCTCTGGACGTGTCAGCACGCCGCGCAAAACCAATGCAGTGCCCATGTGTGGTTGAGCCGTTTTCATCCTAGGGTACCTGCACCAAACGTGCCAAGCTGGCATCCGTCGTCTAAGTGGCCAAGGTCATGAGGATGATGGTGGGGCATTTTTCTACTGCAGGCATGGAAGGGACTTGGGAGCTTAGACCTTAAACAATGCAATTTGTTTGCCGAGGAGCTGGAATTGAACAGGATGCCAGAGCTGTCTGCGTTTTGGGCCAGATGGCAGGCACGCTCATTGTGAGAAATGTGATTTTGTTGGGGAGCGCGCAAATCCAAATAAAGGACCTAATGAAAGATAATGAAAGTCAACTTACATACGCCGTGATCTGATCCGTCACCTCCCCCCCTCGTGCCCAGTCGACTACTCTCCCCGACAATGGGCCTGGTTCACCTTAATCATCCTAAGCTGGGCATAACTGGGCCTGAGGGAGTCCATAATGAAGCCTCCCTCAGCTGACCCTCATCAGAATACACTTGCCGCTAAAGACCTGGAGGGCCCCAAAGCCCCGCAATGCCCAGGATTTCCCAGGCCTTACACCCCAGGCCCTGGTATCATCCACCCGGCTGAGATGTCTACTGGACGAGTAGGAAGCAATGTTTGAGAGAATTCAGGCTTGCAAAGCGCTAAAGCTGTGTGAGGAGGGGTTTAGATTGAACACATTCTGACTTGAGCCCATTCATACGATGTTTTTGCGTCTGTAATCTGTCAACACACGTAAAACCAACGCTTGCTCCCACAGAAAAACATGGGCCCGTATTCTGGCGCACCCTCTTTAAAAGCATATCACCTTCTAGCTGCGGAGGAGACCTGGGGAACCTCGTGGGGGCGTCTACGGGGGAAGAGGGGAATGTCACGTTGCCACTTGTGTAAGACCTTGCTTGTGATCTTCGGATGGGTCGAACTTTCGGCACCCCGCAGTAGGCAATCTAGAATTGAGAAGAAGCATGCGCAACAGACTGGATATAAAGCCAGATTAACCCACGCCCTCATTCAAAAGCTCCGACTGCTTGTTTGTCTGCGCTCTCTTTCATCAGCTTGCTTCTGAAGTCGGCAAAGGTTCCTGACGATCCGGCAAACCAAAAAGGTGGGACATGTACAGAAGCTTGCAAACTACACTACAGCTCTAGCGGTGATTAATGAAGCAGCCCATCTCCAGGCTTGTCCTGTTCATTGTTGCATTCCTTGTCCGAAGTGGACCTCATTGCGAGTGATTGCAAGCCCCTTGAATTGCGCTCAACCAATGCCGCCTCATCTGCACATCCTCCACGACCATGTCGTCTTCGCTCAGGGACTGCACGGGATCTGGGCCTTGGTCCTGTCTGGCCATACAAATGTCCGAATTTTGCTAGTTTGGCCAATGTCCGACTCGTCACTGTGCCAATCCCCAGGCCCGCACATGTGTTATCCCAGCAGTGGTTCATGAAGGCAGTGATCAAGTCATGTAGGGTTATTCCCTATATTCAAGCATCCGCTCAGAGCAGCCCAATGTGGATCAGACTGCTCAGGCTTCCCATCCCACAGTGCACCTCTCAACTAGAGAGCCAATTTACAAATGGATTCGTCTTGACGGTCGGGCACGGTGGAATGCCAGTCTGAAGCTTGGATTGTTAGGTGAATGAATCCTTGCATGGATTCGGTTGCAAAGAAACAGTTGGGATCATGTAACGGGCGCTTGACATGACAGGCCGGAAAACCTGCTACAAACTGACTCTAGAATGCCCCCTGCAAACAAGAAAAATCGCCCCTACAAGCTTGGTTTAGGTAGATTTGGCCAATCCAAGTAACTAAGAAGCTAGGGCATCTGCAATCCCAGAAATACATGTTTACTGGAGTTGCTGTCGGAGTAATCATTCATTCAAGGCGGTGCTAATAGCAGCACCTGCAAACCCACCGCGAAGTCGTCTAAAAAAACGTAGATGTTTTGGTGTGCCATGAAAGGAGAAGCCGAAGCAGGTGTGGATGCAATGAGGTCCTTCGATGCTTCGCTCGTTGGCGGTTGGGCCTCCAGCTCCCAAGCACTACCTTACAACAGCAGACAGGCACTTTCAAGGATTGCCCGTGCTGTTTGCATGCCCATACTGGGTTTCGAACCTTCACTCTTCACGCCACCCGTGTTTGAAAAGTCCGACCCCGTGCTCAGAAGACCACTGCGCTCAAAGCCGGCAACAACACCTCAAATCAAGTGAAGTGCATCGAGCAGGCATGTTCTTCTGCCTGCCCACAAACCGGATCTTTGAGCAGCGCACCAATCATATCCTTGGATTCCGGCAAATCCTGCCAATGCACAGTGGAACGATGTCTGAAGGCCAAAGAGGCTCTTCAAAGCACTCCCTCTAATTTGCTTTGCAACTACTTTTTGACACCGCACCTGCTTGCCAATTCACCTCAAACAATGCCTGTGGCAGAGTTGAGTTTCAGGCGCCCCTTCCTTCTGCGGGATAGCTCTGCTGAGTCATGTCCAGTCGGTGTGACAAGCGCAAACAAATTTGACGGTAATCAAAGCAAGCTAGCACGCAACGACTGTTTTCACTTCTGTGTCCTGGACATGGGTCAACAGGAATCGTGCAAAAGCTATATGAACTATAATAACAACTAATAATAACTATACATAGCACAACTCACAACATCCCAGCAGCATACCCAATCGGACCCTTTACAATCCATGCGAGTCCACTTCCTGCCGACAAGGTCTACGCAGGTGCATCAACCTCCGAATGAGCCACCCCTTCATACGCAGAAGCGTTCGGCACTCACTTGGCTTCAAACACCAGTAATCATGGATCCGATGAAGCGACAGCTATGACCGGCGGCGCTTAATCATGTCACATTAAAACATGGCAGCATTACGGGCACCTGCAGCCTGCCGCAATGGGTGCTGTCACTCTCAGGAATGCAACGAAGACTAAAACTATCATAGATACTGAGGCAGCGCTGGCCTCGCAGCCGGAGTCTCGGTTGGCGGGGGGGACTGCAATGAGGGCAGTGTTAGCGGCACCTACTCACTTCAAGGATTCAGCGCATAGGCTTCAGCGCAAGAGGCGCATAGAAGCGCGCCATGTATGTTTGGCCTCTTAATATCCAGAACATTGCTGCGCGTACATAAGGATCAACCTGTAAAACTCTGACTGCGCGCTTCACGGAACCAGCTTGCTTCACAAGTGAGCCGTTCGAGAAACACACCATGAGCTCTCGTCGTGTCCAACATGTCAGATGACAACAACAGCCCAGGAGCCCCTTTGTTGCCTGACATGGGCTTGCAAGCCCATGATCCAGCAAATAGTTGACACGTGCAATCTTCTCAAAAGAAGACCGAGCACCAACCTGTATCCACGAGAAACCGCGCAAACAGGGTCCAAGGCCACAAACATGTGCACACAAAAGATTTGCAACGGCCGCGATAGATCCATAAGCCTGCAGATGCCATATATGCCATGCACACGCTCGTGTATCGCCTCTTGATCGAAAGGGCAGTGCGAAGGAAGCGTCAACGATGGCAAAGCGCCTGGCTGGCAATCTGAAGAGCAATCAGTTGTTGCGGCTACAGTGACAGCACTACTTAAGAAAACATCGGAATAAAAAAATGAGAGTTTCGGGAGGGCCCACTGCCTGAAAGCTACAAGCAAGACTACACTACAATTATAATCAGAAAAATCTGGCCCAGGGATCCATTCTTGTGTCAGAAGTTTGGTCCTAAACCCACTGCCTCTGGCTTGGGAGGTCCTGGCATACCCGGGAAGCCTTGGGAGGAACTGGAAGCCTTGGGACCTGGGCAAGCATTGGGAGCCCCAAAAACCATAAAACTAAGAGTCTGGCTTTCTTATTCAGAGCTGGCCTGAAACAAGTGCAAGTAAGAAACTCCCCAAGTTTGGCTTTCTTATTTAGAGCTGGGCCGAAACAACAGTAAATAAGAAAATGTCACGGTCTGGTTTTCTTACTCACAGATAAAGACATAAAGATGGCTCTTGTTTGCCATTTGGAAGGCAGGGCTTTATTCGTAGCAAGCGAGATTGAAAAAAAAAGAAAACCCGCTTCAGACAACCAGACTACCCTGACATGACAGATAATTACCCTGAAATTTGCCGGCGTAAGCGGCTTAAAGAATAAGAAATTGAGACTACCCTGGCCCCGGAGAGGATTTTCTTATCCAGCGCTGGCGCTGTAGTTCAAGTGTGAATGGCTCTTGCACGTCCAGCATGGTGTTTCGTTCGAGACGCAACTCAGGTTAGGGTTCGTGGAATACAAAGGTTTCACCACAGCTAGAGGCAGCGGCAGCGAGAGCGTGCCGTCAATGTCTCGGACAAATGACTTCAAAATGAAACATGTCGCCAATCAATCGTGGAAACCTTACGTACTGCGTGAGCAGGGGCATGCTGCAACAAAGGCAAAGCGTGTCAAATGCCATGATGCTCCCCCTCATTCCCGCTTATACCCGGAAACGGCTAGCATCTGCATACATCGGCATGATTGGTTCCCTATCTCAGCAATGACTTCACTTCGGCATGAACAAAGGGGCTCCGCACTCCTCATGAGCCTGTGAGGAACGTCAGAACTAGTGGCTAGGCGACTCATTTACGTTAGGCTGGCATGCGGAGACCTCAGACTTCGCTTGCATCGTGGCCAACCCTGAGAGCATGCCAGGAAAACCAGCCGACAGGGGAAGGTGCCAAAGCGTCATCTGCGTAGCTGAGTTCCAGAAGAATTCGCAACCTGAGCGCGCGCACTGGCAACAAAATCGCCGCAGATCACTGCTGATTGCAAAGAAGATCTGGGCCCGGTGCGACTTTTCTCGTCATACAGGCGCTCCCACCAGCCCTCATGCATTGGTGGGGGCTGCCAGGATGATTTGCCACTGAGATGTTCCCAGTAGTAGATGGCATTCCGTCTGGTGTCAACTGCGCGCTCCCAAACAGGCCCCAAAGGTGCTACCATATGTGGCGCAGCTTGAGCAGCATGTAACTTGGCTTTCTGACGGCTGGCTTTCAGCGCGTCAATCTTGACCGGAACTGGCTTCTGCGCTGGACCCCTGCCAAGCTTCTCCGCAATGGACCCACGTAGTCTGCGTTGAGCCCGTGGGCGAGTCGCCACTTCATGAGGAGGGCTCTGCGGGCTCTGGAATTGAGGAGCCTCGCTCTTGTCGAGCATCTCGCCTGAGGTTGTAGAGGCAGTATCCGCCGCATCACGCAAAAGGGTGTCCTCATCGTCCTTGGAATCCACTGTCGCGTACGCCTTGTGCCCCAAACACTCTTACACACACAAACACACTGCGCAAAACGCCAGAAGCGTTTGGCAGCATGCAGCAGACTTGCAGAACGTCTTTGCCAACATCATATTGAACTAAGCTGCGGTTTGCTTTGCAGGTGGTTTAGCAGGCGGTTGCTTTGGGCGGGGAACCAGCAGCTTTATCAGGGAGCCGGGTTCAAAGGTCGGCGAACGGCTACCCATGGCTTCGTTGATATGCGTGTGGCAGACACTGCAATTACGCCTGCAACAAACTATAACGGCTCAGGGCAAAACCTCTGAGTCACCAACGGTAGGAGTGTGTGCCGATGCTACCCAGACAATGGAAGCAGACCAAAACAATCCAGAGTATGGACGTCATGCAAAAGTTGTCATTATCGAAGGCACGCGTGTAATTGTAACAGGCCCTCTATGGTATGCTGTCATTACGGACGATGAGCAATTATTCAGAACCTTATGGCAAAATTCAAGTCGGAGCTGTTAGCCTGGGGCACCTTCTTTGATGGGGCCCATGCTATGACAGTCTAAACAACTTGAACCAACCAAAACCAAGCATGGTACAGCAAGTGACTGCGGCATGCACAGGCAAACAAGCAGGTTCAATCTGGGCCACGCCAAGACTGTCTCCACCGGAGTTGGCACGCTTCCCTTTCTAGCCTGCTGCCTTTGCGTAGTTGGACAGTCTGAAGAGTAGCACCTGGCGTTGCATTCACTTCAAGCCCCACACAAGCAGCTGTCTCTTCCGGAAATAAAGCCTTACCACCCCTAGGACCAATTCGGCATTCAGCCAGAGAAGGAGCACGGAGAATACTTTACGTACGGCTTGCAAAATCACTTCAACGAGATGGAAGAGATTAGCTAGCGGGGAGCACCGGGCGGCGGGGCACCACCTGCTTGCCAAATCGAGAAAATGAACAACCCACATCTTCTTGAAAGATGAAAGACGGGCAAAGCTTTCTCTCTTATGGTGATGCGGATGCACAGCCCTGCACAACTTGTAATGTGAAGGTGGGATGCTTTTAAGAAAGGCCCCCAAACAAATGCAATTTCACCCCCTCCCAAGCCCAGGCAAGGAATAAATGCAAAATACGGCCTTGTTTGCATCATGGGGCAACTCAAGCTCAGGCCCTGACACTACTCCAATCAGAAGCAGCCCCCAGTGAGACCGTAACTTGAATTTTAACACAAGGCTCGACAGCCTTTCTTAATTTAGAATAACAATAGCGTCTCATAACGCCCCGGTCTGGATAAATCCGAGGTAACACCTGATTTTTCAACAGCCGCACGTAGGGCCCCACTTGAACCCTAATTCGGAATCATCCGAAGTCGGAGATATCCTGTGCTCAGAGACCAAGGCTTTGTTGCTAAATTGCCCAAAACACCTTGTACTCAGAGTAACTGGCTGGCAGCCGGGAATATAAACCAAGGCAAAAACGCTGCCTATCCTGGACCCTGCGCCGTGTCACTTCGGAAAGCATGCGACTGAAAGTACATAAATCTATGCAAGAAAATCCTGGTAATGTTGAATTTGGGCCCAACGATTTCTTGATAAACCACTTATGAAGGGTGGGCAGAATAAATTTTCGCGAGGGGCAGCATACCACCAGCACGGTGACAGAATTATACTTCTCAGCGGTCTGATGCTGAATCAGAAATTGCTTTGGTACCCCAGTGGGCCAGCCCGGAATATCGGCAGACAAAGATACATCCATGCATGGCCGATGTACTCTACAGGACACCTTTGGCGTTTTTGCTGTAAGCTTATAGGAAGCCCCTTTGGGGGCCATAAATTCTGTGTCACCCCCAGCCCCACCCGTCCCCACTCCCCTCTATTGTGACCGCGACTTCCTTGGCGCCGCGCACAGAGCTGGGCCAAGGCAGACGAGCAGCGATTGCAATGTTCCACAGAGGTTTCCCAAGCGCTCTCTTCCAGGAGAAAGAATCAAAGCAGGAACAAAACATGTCAGTTTCACCCGCCCTGCTTCGTTGCCAACCGCCAGCACTCCCCCCTGACAGGAGAAGTCCAAAGCAGAGACCTGGGCGCGTGGTCAGATGCAGTCCTTCCCAGCAAGCTGGCATCTTGGTCTCTCATGCACAGCGACAGCTAAATTGAAAAGAGCACGCACACACGTGACACGACACGTGCTCGCAGCCTGTTGGGCTGAGGCTGCCACACGATGCAGCGGCGTTCTTTGTGTCGGCCAGTTCTGAAAGACAGTCATAGTCCCAGTGTGTACCAGCTTCATCCTCAGTTGCTCCATCAAGCTCCTGTCTGCCACGCAAGGAAGGTGACCCTTGGCCGGGCTCGCCACGCGCCAGGTTTGAGACGCGAAGCTGCTGCTAGAATTTGGCCGTCAGAGCTGAACCTACCAACTAAGAACTACTGTAAGGGAATCACAAAAGTCAGTGACATGGTGTCATCTAAAAACAGGCTACATTAGAGAACCTTGGCACAATGCATTGATCAGCATGTGGCCTGAGTGCGTCGATTCTTGTTGTGAGGTTGCCGATGCTGTGGTTAGGCCTTGACACGTCTTGCTTGGCATCATACATCGCTGCAACTCTGCAGCCCAGACAGTGTTGGCAATATCCGAGCTGTGAGCTCCGCGGAGAGCTTGGCACCAACATCAAAGACATCAATGTTACCAGTCCTCGTGCTTCAACCCAGGGAGCGTTGGCAATAGAAAACAAAAGCATTGAGTACCGCACGAGCTGCCAATGGCGAGCTTCGCTTTCTCATTGGCACTGATGGCCAGACATTGGATGCGAACACTCCACGGCTCCTCTCATCACAAATGTCACAGTAACCAGCAGTAGCTGCCAGCTGCATCCAAAGTCATTAGGTCATTAGGACCATAATCAACTTCATGGTCCTGGCCTTAAGCTTCTGCCGGCAACGACCTGAGACAATGTCCCATTCATAGATGTTGCACCTCCGGGGAAGGCATCTGAAAATGCTTGCTACCATGGCGGGGGTTTCATCCTGAGCACCAGTCTCCTCATCTGCTGAATAGAGCGAAGCCTGGCATCAAAAAAGCTCTAGGCGTCATGCAAAAATTTTTACTCAATTGGTGTTGCCTGATTTGGTGAGAAGACCAGTGAAACCCCCCGGGAGCTCATCCGAAAGGTCCTCTGCCGAGCACACGGGCGCAGTCGGACCAAGTCGTACGCTGCACTTGGTCGCATGTGCGCGATGCATGCGTTGAAATCACTCCTGATCGTATGCTTCGTCTTGAGGTCGCAGAGGCTGATGGCTCCAGCGTCGCCAAGAAACCCATACCTCGCTGCTTCGATTGTTGACGCTTAGCTTGGCCGTTTGGAAGCATGGCTCAGCAGCGTGACAAGGCGCCAACATCTGGGAAGACTGCACATTGGCTGATGCGGGGCCTGTTCAGCTGGACTAGCAACAAGATGCAGCAAGCACAGGGAAGAGTTGATGCGGCATGCTGCGAGCCCGTGGCCCATGGCGAGGCAACGTGGCGCGCTCCGATGTGGACTTCCTGAAGCAGCAACAACATGCGGCACCATCTTCTGAAGCAGAACCCTTAGTACCCTGCAAACCAAAGGCCATTGGTTTTGAGGAAAACCTGTAAAAGTCATCCTTCGCCGCCTTCGCATGACTCATGTTTTTCAAGAAGGCTTCAGGGCTTCTCTTTTGAATCCTGCTAAGTGTCTGGGTGGGTGAGGTCGCTCAGCTGGGGCATGTCATGTAGCGTCCAGCAATCAGAGGCCCGGTCATCATGAGTCTGACGCCCTATCATCCAATGACTCTAAGTGTCCTGGAGGCTACAGGGAACGACAGCAGATGGTCATTGCCTTGCACCGCTTCTCCTCCAAGTTCTGCCCTTTTGTTTTTTCATGGATTTGGCTGCAGTTTCTTGGCAAGGTATTGCCGTAGAGTACCAAATTCCAAAATGATCTGTCAAGCGTAGCACAACCACTCCTCAATCTCGCATTGCCACAAATGTGACCCTGCAGATTTTGCTAGACGGGCTACAAATGTGATGGGCCTCTTGAAGCCAGTTTTCTGGCAGCCAATCAACAGGGGCTTTTGACCCAGGGTTGATTGACTTCATTGAGACATGCTTTCTGTTCTTGTTCCGGACCCCCTTCTCCCCCAATTTCAGCCCCTCATCGCAACGGAGGCTTTGACAACATGATGCGCTCTCCCCTAATCTGCAGGGACATGGTCTCATCCAAACCTTCCGTGGCAGACCGTCATGGCATGGCTTTCACGTCGTCAAGGTCCCTGACATGCCCTCTGCTACTGCTGGAGGTTACTCGACGAGTGCCGTTTGATGCGGTGTTTCATGGGGTGCCAGCCGTCTGGGATGTATGTGATGTGGTAAAGTCTCAAGACACCACTGGCTTCTCGCATATCATTACCTTACCGGATTCGTTGTTCGCCATCTGAGTAGCTCTCCCGTCAATGAAATTTGTTGCCACTCTCGCTCATTTCCGAGATTCTTCTGGACAAAAGCACTGACGCATGCATCGTCAGGGTCAAATGACGTATCTCAGTTCTCTATAACTTGTTCCGAATGAGTGGAACACCTCCCCGAAATATCCAATGATCACGTTGGACAAGATGCAGCCCTTCCCAAAAGCGGACACATGAAGTGCTATCTTGTGCTGTTTGCGGAAGGAGATGAGCTGCTGGGCTGCTCACGCATTTCAAAGGGCTCTCCACTGCTGACGTCGAGACCTCACGGCAGTGCAAGCTCAGTGCTTCCAGCTCCAGCCTTAAATAGCAGGCTTAAGATTGCTTGTCTTGAATGGTCAAGACTTGGATGAGAGCCCCAGAGGTGACTCGAGGAGCTGGTCATGAGAACCTTCGCGGAAGAATGGATCAGTCTCTACTCGATTCCTGATTCCGGAAGCAGTCCTGATCTCCGCTTGGTGTGAACTTTGCATCGAGAATCGGGTAGTTCTTGAAGTAATAGGATGCCACCTTGTAAATGTAGCCAGTCTAGGACAATACTCCCAACACGTTGCTGTGGATTGCCTTTGGGTTCTCCTCACCATCCACAGCAAAGAGGCGCAACCTTGGCATCAACAGTCATACGGAAAAACTGCTTGACAGGGTCGGCATCTACGCATCTCTAAGGCTTCGACGTCTTGTCACGGCCAGCTGTCAATAACAGCTCAGAAGTTGGATGAAATTGAAGAGCCTAGCGGATCTTTGAAAAGATGCACTGCGAAGGATCATTTAACACAACGGTGTCCAAAATTGGTGCTGTGCTTCAAGAACCTGCGCATCTAATGAGCTGGACCGTGCCACGCTCACATCTCTAGTTCCGAGGGTCACTCCTCTGCCTCCAGCTCTCCGACAGACGCGAACTTTTCCAGCATTTTGGGATGTGGGGTGGGGGGAGGGTGCTTTTCGTTGTTGTTTTTCCGTTTCTCTGGCCCTGTCGAAAGGGTGGTCTGAAGCCTCCAGAACACAGCATTTGGAGCCATCGTCGGAGAAAGCTTCAAAATGCATCGAATGCGCTGCAAACACACAAAGTAGTTGCTATAAGGCCTGTCATAGAGTTAAGGATTGTAGCGCTGCTACCATGACAGCAATGAAGACAAGGCGGTGGCAATAGCACGAAATCTAAAATCAAAAGCAGGACTTGTACAAGAAGCAGTTGTAATTAGCCAACACCTTCGCTACAGCTCTCTCCTCCACGCATACCTCTTATGAAACCATATACATATATATATATGGTCACCCCCCCCCATGATCTACCTCCAGGTCTTTCTTTGATGTAAAAATGCTAGAAAACACTGTAAATACCGATGAATTTGTTGTTTGGTGGATATCATATTTCACCCTTCAAACTACTGGCCGTTTTTTATGGTTAACAAAGACTGAAAAATAGATGAATTAATTAGGGAAGCTTCCAAATCTGAACGAACATCTAGGAATTCCATAATTTGTTGTGTTTAATTACATTTAAAAAGAAATTTAGACAGCAAAGAGCAGACACACAATTTTCAGAAAATCCCAAAATCCAAAAATCCAAAAACTTTCAGGAGAATCTCTGGGATAATTGGATTTTTGGATTTTCCAAAAATCCAAAAATCCCAAACTTTTAGGAAATTCTGTGAAAGTTTTGGATCTTTGGATGTGTGGATGTCCATTGTTTTTTTGATGTTTATGAAAAATCAAAAAAAATGTACATAGCTGGATTTTCACATCTGGTAGTACAAAACCAGTGTATTTCCTAATGTTTTTTGGTGATTTTTCATAAACATTTAAAAATAAAAATACAATTGTTTTTAGGTTTCCCTTATTGAAAAACATTGTATTTCCTTTTTTTTGGATTTTTATAAAAATCCAAAAAACCGTAGGAAATACAATGGTTTTGTACTACCAGATGTGAAAAATCCAAATATGTACATTGTTTTTTAATTTTTCATAGAAATAAAAATATGTACATTGTTTTTGTATTTTTCATAGAAATCAAAAAACAATGGAAATCCAAAAATCCAAAAATCCAAAAGTTTCACAGATTTTCCTAAAAGTTTTGGATTTTTTGTATTTTTAGATCTTTATGAAAATTGTGCATTTGGTTTCTGCTTTATAAATTCCTTACTACATTAGATTCAAAATAATACCAAAATCCAGAATTCCTGGATTCATGTATTTGGGAGCTTTACCAGATCGTAAATTCCATATTAAATTTAATCAAAAACAATATCAAAATCCTACATTCCTAGATTTATGGATTTCGAAGGTTTACTAGATTATACATTACTTATCAACCTTATTTTAAGAAAATAATTGGAAAAAACATGCATTTAGCAATCCTGGTTCTAGCTATGTATTTTAAGTAAATTTCACAAGCATATTATAAAGCAGAATGCAGATTTCAAATGCCACAGTTTATGCATTTATTATTTGGTTGTGAAGTTTAAATGTACATGAATTATAGTAGTTTCATTTTAAAGCAGTATGCATGTTCGTAATATATGAAACTTATCTGGGAGCTTTCCCAGATCGTAAATTTCTGATTAAATTGAATTAGAAACGATACCAAAATCCTATATTCCTGGATTTCGAAGCTTTACTAGATGGTTTATGACTTATGAATGTTGATTAAAAAAGATACCTGGAAAAACACATGCATTTAGGAATCCTGGTTTTAGCCATGCATTTTAATCGAATTTAATA